TTATTACGTTAAGCTTAACCGTTACGATTCGTTTTTAATTCGAGTGATGTCCGGAAATGTCTTTTTACCATATTAAATTCAATATTGTACTTCAGAAGAAATCTCGAGTTGATCGTTTGTAATCAACTCATAATTTTCACATAAAAAATAATTCCTGCATCAGATGTGTCTTTCCGAACGCGTGATTGAGCCTTACTCTCAGTGTCCCGGAAAAGCCAGTTTCAGTTCTGGAGAAGCGCAAGAACTCAGAAGCTTCCAACGGGCCGTAATCTATCTTTCCCAAGACACTCATGCAGAGATCTTTGATATATGATACAATAGAATAATTGAAAACAATTTCTCGTTCATACGCTAAAAATAATTCGACGTACCATCATAGCGAATTCCATTTCGCAAATGTTAAAAATTAATCTCAATTTTTCCAATCTCGGTTAAACTTTTCACAATCAACGATTTAATTTTGGAAAAATTAGGGCTCAGGTCATCAGTGATTAACTTTCAACGTCAATATTCTGCTCCTAGTGATTAAACAATTGTTCTAATAATTATAATGATTTCCGTTATTAAATGAGATAACAATGGGTCACATTGTTATAATGAACGTAACTGTTACGATTTGTTTTAAATATGAGGAAGTCTCGGGAATGTCATTCACCATATAAAATACAATATTGTACCTCAGAAGAAATATCGAGTAAATCGTTTGTAATCGAATCATAATTTTTAAATAAAAAATAATTCCTGCATCAGATGTGTCTCTCCGAACGCGTGATTGAGCCTTACACTGAGTGTCCCGGAAAAGCCAGTTTCAGTTCTGAAGAAGCGCAAGAACTCAGAAGCGTCCAACGGGCCGTAATCTATTTTCCCCAAGACAATTTATGCAGAGCTTTGATATATGATACAATAAAATAATTGAAAACTTTTTCTCGTTCATACGCTAAAAATAATTTTATCTACCATCATAGCGAATTCTATTACGTAAATATTAAGAAGTAATCTAAATTTTTTTAAACTTGGTTAAACTTTTTACAATCAACCATTTAGTTTTGGAAAAATGAGGGCTCAGGTCATTCATGATGAACTTTCAACGTCAATATTCTGCTCCTGGTGATTGAACAATTGTTATAATATGTAGAATGATTTCCGTTATTAAATGAGATAACAATGGGCCTACATTGTTATGATGAACGTAACTGTTACGATTTTTTTCAAATATGAAAGATGTCTCGGAAATGTTTTTTCACCATATTAAATACAAATTTGTACCTAATGAGAAATATTGAGTAAATCGTTTGTAATCAACTCATAATTTTCAAATAAAAAATAATTCGCGCACCAGATATTTCTATCTGAACGCAGGATTGAGCCTAACACTGAGTGTCCCGGAAAAGCAAGTACCAGTTCTCGAGGAAGCGCAAGAAGTCAGAAGCTTTCAACGGGCCGTGATCAATCTTTTTTAAGACAAGATGTGCAGAGATCTTTGATTTTCATGATTAAATGAGATATTTATTAGCTCACGTTATTACGTTAAGCATAACGATTAGTTCTTAATTCGAGTGATTTCACGATTTGACTTTAAAAAATTATTCATGTGTGAGTTAGGGCCATGAAATAATGAATTTAACTTAGCAATGAGTATCCCGGAACAGCCATCTTGACTATTAGTATCAGCGCTAAAGCGAATAATCTTTTAGTGGTTCATGGCTGTATTCTGTATGGATGAGTAATTTTATGAGATTTTTTAAAAAGTCAACTTAGGCTGAAATGTTTTTGGCTTTCAGGTTTTTTTCCGATTAGGAAGTCCTGAAGAATTGAAGTTGTGGTACATACCATACAACTACTTGACATAGTAGATAGGGTCTGGTATATACCGGACATGGTAGATAGGGTCTGGTACATACCGGACATGGTAGACAGGGTCTGGTTCATTCCAGCACTTGGTTGGAAGTTTCCAAGCTAAATTTATATTATATGTATAGGTCCTGGATTATTCCAGCGAGTCCTTTTTATTCTACATTTATTTCTAATAGTTTTTTATTAATTTCGTCGATATACATATACTCACCACGAAAAATAATAGCGATATATTAAACAAATGAAAATGTCCTGGAATGAAGCTTCAGACATACATATATATGGGTCAGATTATGATATATGATGAATGTTAAATTTTTTTCAGATGTCTTCAGAATTTCGCATTAATCTTTGTTATGCTCTAGAATGAGCTAGGAAGCTTCAATCGAACTTTTGCAACAGTCAAAATTTATTTAAATTTGACAAGGAATTCAAAAAAAATTTTTTCAAATTTTTTCACAGGAACCATCGGGTTCCAGGAACCTTTTTTGTTAAAAATAACGTTTTTCGGCTCCAGACGCTGTCGCCTTCAATTAAAAAATCTGAAAAAATTTGAGATTATGTATTTTGATGAACAAAATGAGAAAAAAATTTTCCCAGATTTTTTGAGGCTCCATAGCGCCTTAAAAAAATTATTTTCGTGAAAAAAAAACGATTTTTCAGCTCTAGGCTGAATGGACATGAATGAAAAATTCTGAAAAAATTCAAGGAATCGTTTTTTGACGTCAGAATTCAGAAAAAAATACTCCGGTCTGGTATATCGAACCATTTTACCGAAAATAAAATAATTTAAATTTTCAATGATTTTTTCTGAAGGCCTGAAGCACTCGAAAAATCTGAAAAAATTCAAGGTAGTTCAGATTGTTGAAAAGTACCTTCATGAATTTTTTCAGATTTTTTAATAGCTTCAGGCCTTCAGAAAAAATATAGATAGAAAATGGACGTCTATAGGGGAGGAGGGGGGTAGGAGGGGGGAGGGGGTCCAAAATTTTGGTTTTGGCACTTTTTTATCATGTACTATAACATACCAAAATTTCAGAAAAATCCGTGAACCTCGCCCGCAGGTTTATTTGAAAAATTCTGAATCTGACCCATATATATATTATATATATATATCCAAAAAATTGGTCGTTTTTTACGATTTCGCACGTTTCAAGCCTTTTTTTACATTTTTTACACATTCTTCTTTTGTGGCGTGCACCAAGTGCCCGTTCTGGCCCCTGTTGGAACTTCTTCGGGAAAATTTTTGTTCTCCTATTCTCGCGGATGAGTTTGTGGCGAATAACTTGAACGTGTCTACCTGGTGCACCGAGTCTCCGTTCTGGCTCCTCTTGAAACTTCTTCGGGGTATTTTTTTGTTCTCCTGTTCTCGTGGATGAGTTTGTGGTGGAGAACTTGAACATGCCGACCTGGTGCACCGAGTCCCCGTTCTGGCACCTGTTGAAACTTCTTCGGGGAATTTTTTTGTTCTCCTGTTCTCGCGGATGAGTTTGTGGCGAAAAACTTGAACGCGTCGACCTGGTGCACCGAGTCCCCGTTCTGACCCCTGTTGAAACTTCTTCGGGAAATTTTTTTGTTCTCGTGTTCTCGCGGATGAGTTTGTGGCGAAGATCTTGAACGTGCCGACCTGGTGCACCGAGTCCCCGTTCTGGCACCTGTTGAAACTTCTTCGGGGAATTTTTTTGTTCTCCTGTTCTCGCGGATGAGTTTGTGGCGAAAAACTTGAACGCGTCGACCTGGTGCACCGAGTCCCCGTTCTGACCCCTGTTGAAACTTCTTCGGGGAATTTTTCTGATCTCCTGTTCTCGCGGATGAGTTTGTGGCGAAGAACTTGAACTTTCTTTTATGTGTTGATTCTAATAAAAATTCATTAATCCCATATTCGAAAACAATATATCACACTAGACTTTCGAACGAGAAAAAAATTTACATTTGAAAATTATTATTTATCTTAAAGTAATGTAAAAGAAAAAGAAATTAATGTTTATGAATTATTTTTAATATTACTGACCAAAGGGCTTTGTTTCAATATAACCTTTTTCTTTCTTTTATTTGTTCATTCTAATAAAAATTCATTAATCCCATATTCGAAAACAATATATCAAACTAGACTTTCAAACAAGAAAAAAATGTACATTTGAAAATGATTATTTATCTTAAAGGAATGTAAGAGAAACAGAAATTAATGTTTATGAATTAAAAGCAGACAAGTTAGTTATTTAAGTATATAATTACAGATAAGTCAAGTGAACGGGTACAATGATCTTTAGTATTTGTCTGTATTCTGTGAAAGATTTTCATCGCTAAAATGAAAATTAAAAAATTCATAATAAAAAAAGAATCGAAAATTAAAGTATAAAGATTGTTGTTTTTAGGCCATGGAAATTTTTTATCAGAAACCTTTATTATGTCGACTATAGCGTAAACGATTGCTTTCTTTAAGGAAACACACCTGTGTTTATGCCTATAAATGCAAAAGCATGAAAATTAAGGATTAATATTAAAATTTTTTGTTTCGGAAGATAAAATATGTTTTTGCAGGTTTTTGTACAACAAAAAATATGTCTGCGGATCCTATTATTATTAAAATTCATCCAGGATACATACATATTGACTTGTAATTTTTAAGTCCTTATCAAGATGATTTTGATAATATTTAATCAATATTTAATCAATGATCCTTTAGGTCTCAAAATTTTTATAATTAAATTCTTCTCCACTCAAGTGTAGCAGATTTTTTATTTCGTTATTTTTTAAATCTATTAATCTCCAAATTTCTCATAGACCTATTTCGACGTACAAATTAATGCCCTTTTAGAAAGTCACTGTACTATATTTAAGACGAGAAGGAGAGATGATGTTTCGTTAAGTTAAATCTATCAAGTTCTTGGGTTATTTTGTATTCAATGAATCATGACCAATAACATAATATATCGATAAACATGATTCTATTATATTCTATTATGTTTCAACATCTAAACTTGTTCAAAATTTAAATATTTCATAAATATGTCTTATAATATTCTTACTCCTCAAATATTTCTTACAATTTCTTTGAAACAATCTGAGACCGAGCGAGCGTTAGCGAGCGAGGAACGCCGCTAGTCATCAATTACCCCTTGTACTCGTAACTTCCCCCGTTACAACTCTCAGGAACTGAATAATCTACCAATAAAAGCAGTTGATTGATTAATTTGAACTCGTCGCTTCTTTTGCAAGCAGAATCAAACAAAAACTCACCAAAGTTGCCAATCGCCTTCGTCTTGCTGTTCTCCTCCTCCTGCTTCTTCTCGTTTTGGCAAATGGTGCAGCCATGCTCCCCCTTCAGCAGACAGATCCGACACTTCATGTGGCCGCACTCGATCCTTATCAACCTGGCGCTGGCTTTGCTGGTGGTCTGGCCGCATAGCGGACAGGCACTGGCAAAATCGTACTTCTTTTGCACTGCTTTCAAGATGCTATAAACTCTGATGATAATTTCAGCAGCTTTAGTAAGCTGAGCGCTGAGAAGTACTGAAAAGCAATATATCCACCATTACGACTAGCGATGATAGTTGGTCGCATCTGATTAACTTTGTCAAACGCTTCTACTGAAATAGCTTCTATACCTGAGGTAACTGCCACAGCCTTTTGTCATGTACAATTTTAGACCATCGAACTGGATGTTAAAAATGGGATGCTCTAAGAAGTGGAACTCCTGAAAAGTGCATAATTGTATCTTCAACTATGATGACCTTAAGAATATAAAAATTATGATGTAGAAAAAAAAATTGGTTCATATTTTACCATAAAAATCAAAACACTAAACTGTTTAATGAAATTAAATCTTTCCAATTTGATTAAATCTGTATTATCAAACATACTGACAATTGCTTCACCAGTAATAATGGCTAATCTCTTGATTCCATGAAAGTCTGCATATTCTATTGCCATGACACCAGGATCAGCGAGTAATTCTTCTGGATAATTGTAAAATAGAAGTCTATGAATGGACACATTATACAATTATGTTGTCTACTTTGTCCTGAAAATTGAAATAAACCACGAGCTTGTTTAATGTTTAATTGCGGTATTTATTAAGTGCACAACTCACCTTTATTATTTATTTTTCTGCTACTTTGAGTTCAGCAACCTGGCATCGCTATCGAGTCTACACATACTCTAATTGAACTGGAATAACAAAAAAAGATACACTAAAGATATACTTCGCAAGCAACTGCTGTAGCAATTCTGACTTTATAGCAATGATACTTGGTGTATAGATCTCTTGATCGGTCAATTTCTCTAATTCCTTCAAGATTTCAGATGCTGTAAGAAAATATTAAAAAGATGAACATTAATATGATACAAGATTGTAATCGAAAATACTAAAAAACTAAAAATTATGTATTTACCAAGTAAGTAGTGTGACTGATTTTGAGCCATGTTCAACTTCGAACTTCGGCGATCGCATCGATGCGGAGCAGACATTATCGCAGCACATACACAATACACACATGACATACCAAGAACTCAGAAGCCAACAGCCAAGTCGAGTCACAAACGGATTTGGGACTGCGAATCGTATTTGTCCCGCACTTGCGCAATACATATGACTTCTGATTGGTCGGCTGACCCCTAGATCAGCGACCGGTTAACGGCCTGTGCGAATGTGGCGCGATTCATTTTTGGCGGCATCACTGGCTCGACGTTCGATATCTCATTATTCACCGACCCTTCGTTTCGAGTCGACCTCTACCTCTGTGTTCTTTCACATTTGTTTTCTAGAAACTAACTTTCATTTGTAAGGAAGTGAACGCCAGTACAGAGTTCGGCGGTATTCCTTCCTTGTATCCTAATCCTGACCCGTGTCGAGAGAGACGTATGAGTATCGCGAGCCCGATGTAACTTGGATCGGCGCCGTTCACAAAAGCGCCGAATTCGTAGCGAGAGACGCGAGTTATATGAACACCAGTTCACCAACCTGCCTGGCTGTCGTTGACCTGCAAAGATTAATACACATTAATAACTGCAAGCGCGACTGCAAGTGCGAATGCGAGTGCGAAGAACAATGGACCAGCAACTCAAAACATCGAAGCTGTCGAAGCCAAAACATCTTAGCTACCGAGGAGACTCACCCATTGTTCGTCACCTCTCCTACCTGTTCGATCGTCACCTCTACCACTGTACTTACGCATATTACGATTATTGAGCGAGCTCGGTATCGACCGGCTGGCAGTCTCTGTCGGGATCTTGGCCTGTAACAATATCGTGATTTAATAAAGTGCAACTCCTTGTTCTATAATAAAGAAGAATATAAGTTCGTACCTTTGTCAAAATCCTATCATCTCACTTAACTCGCGCGACCCGTGCGTAAGATTCGCGCGCCTAATGAAGAGAGCAGACGAAAAGCTGTCATAGGAGGGAGGCCTGATCTGACTGACGGGCCTACGTGTGAGAGACAGCGCGACCACTCTGTGCTGGTCCGTGCGTAGCGACGCGTATATTATAGCCTAGTTCTGCGTCAAGTTCGAGTGTGTGTACGTACGAGCTACTCCTGGAGGAACTGTGTCACCTGGCTCTCCTCTCGTCGGCCCTAGCTTCTTCAGCAGTCACATTCGGCCTGAATTATCCGCCAACCAACATCGTCAGCGAATGTCAGTCGCCTATATCTCTCTCGCGTGATGCGCCATACCTATCTCTGTTCGTTACGCTCGATCTCTCTCGACGTCGTCCCCGCGTAGCCTAAACTCACGACCGCCGTATCTGCCGCTCTAGCCGCGGTGGCCTAATCGCGTGTACACATTGTAACGGGAGAAACTTATATGTCAAGCGCGTGTTGAAGTCCCAATAACTGTAATCATCGATTCATTGAATGTAATAGATATAATCAGGCGTCACATTCGTGACTGGCGCCTTTCCAATAATAAACTAAGCCTTTTTATGTTGTTGCCTTTATACATGATCGAGTGAGTTATTTCGACACCCCGACTTTTATTCCGTTTTACAGCACAGCAAGATTTCACCGGATCATTCGCTCGCATCCCGAGGGCGAACGGTTACACATTATTATTTATTTCGATATGAATCCCCAAGAGATCATTGTTGCTCGTGCAGTGCAAGTGCAAAATTATTTATATAATCCAGGTTGCAAAGGCTACGGCAAAACGCTCAAACGGACAAGGGCTTTTGCGAAAATTCAACGGTCGCTGAATCGCCTTAACCGGGCTGAGAGGCAGCCGATCGATGGTAAGTTTATTTATTATTTGTTCAATTCTATTCAATTCATCGTAGTATAATTTATTTCAATCGCGAAATTTTTGTGAAATTTGTGAGTGCTCGTAGTAAAGTTCAATAGTAAATTTTCGCCGTCAATCTTTTGTTTTATGTTTTTAAAAATTTTTTTTTTACTGTGTGCAGATGACGATCATGCTCGCACTATATGGAAAAAACTGCAGAAGGCTTATGGTGATTTAATGCGCAAATTGCGCCGTAACCGACGTCAAAGGCAGCAGATTTTAGGCCGCATGTTTTCTCGCAGTCGAGAGATCTTACGCGAGCTAAATTTCATGGCGAATTTCCTACGTCCCAGAACGTAAAAAGCATGTTTCGCATGTTTCAGGATGTTAATCATTTACTTGATTATTTTCCTTGTTCGTTAAAAAAAAATATTTTGACTACTTTAAAAGTTTGAAAAATTATGAACAAGTACCACAATTTTTTTCGCAAGATTTTGTCGTTATCATCCAATTATATATGAACAAATTTTTAACTTTGTTATACTTTTAAACCTTCCTGCTCCTTTCCACGAAATCACATGAAAAAATCTTCTCTGCAGACTTCGTGACATGCCGCTTATAGCAACAATTTTAGTTCGTGTGAATACCTACCAGCCAATCACATTTGACTATCGTTCTGCATCGTTGCAAACGGCATACCAACATTTTTTTCAGTCTGTCTATTAACGTCGTATTGTGCGTGTCGTAATCTTTCATTTGGTCATTTAAAAGAAATTTTTACAGTTCCAATATAAATAAAATTTGAAAATGGCATTCGTACCGGATGATAATAATCTCGGTGTTATTCGCGGTGTTCGAGAATATTCGAACAAGGCAGAACACACGCACGCCTGTACTCACACACGTTCACGTGTGTGCAGACGTGCGCGTATCTCTCACTGTGAAGCGAGAGATGGCGTCGCGCCGCGGCACGTGCCGACGGCATCTCTGCTAACTGCGCATTGCTCGCGTACCCGGTCTTCTCGTCTCTGCACTCGGCGAATCCACATCTCGTGTGTGTCTCGTGCGACGATTATTTCAAGTGTGAAAAATCCCGACGTCATCAAGCTACTTCGAGCATCATCATCATCTTCTAAGACTTCTCACCAACTTTACAAGCTCCAATTCGTTCGACAAGCGCCAAGCAGTTCGACCAGGACTCTTCGAACTTCTCTCATCGGCACAATCATCAAGGCCCAACTCATCATCTCGTCTGCGAATCGGAGTCAACTCATCGATTGCGACCAGGTAAAGACACCATTCAGGCCGCAAATGAAGACTAATAATGTCTACTACAGGCCTGGTGGGATCTTTTTATCATCAACTCAAATCTCGGGGGGTTACTTGGGTTACTTGGGTTACTTGGGTTACTTGGGTTACTTG